CAAGTTCCAGACTTTCTTTTTTTTCTCTCCACCAAAATTTAGGTCTAAATTTAGTAAGTGGGTGCAAGGAAGAGAGGGAATTGGGGTAGGGGTCTCTGAGTAGCATCATTAACGCCCCCCCCCAAGTCCTCACTGCTAGAGCTCTGGCCCTCTCCCCTTTTTTGAGGGCTTCCCTGGCAAAGATGGCTGTGTCTGGGCAAAAAATAGAGAAGTGGCACCCCAGAGTGGGTGGGGGAGAATCCAGGCTGTAGAGAGCAGCAGAAGGCCAGGGTGGAGTGTCTGGCGGCTTCCCAGTAGGCCCCAGCATTCCCCAACCCTCTACTGTCCCCTGGAAAGGATCTGCTCCCTGGTGGAGAGAGCCAGCAGACAGGTCTGAGCTGGCCTGCTCCTCCGCAGACAGAAGAGGAACAGGCTGGGAGTGGGGGACCAAAATATTGTTGGAGAATGGTGCTTGGAGCCCCCATGTCTCCTCTGGGGAACCAGGTCCAGAGGGACTAATGCCTGGGTATACCTTATCATAGCCTAGGGCCCAGCTTTTGCCTGCCCTGGCCAGCCTGTTGTCATTTGGAGAGCAAGGGGTCTCAGCCCCCAGGTGTGAAGATAGTGCCTGCCCACCTCTTCTCAAGGAGTCAACATCAGTTCCCTACTTCCCCTCCCCTGGGCTGGGCAGGTTCAGGCCAATCTGCACAAGAGCTTCACAGCAAACATTGATCTGTAATAAAACCACAATGTGTGTTGAGGAGAAGAGATTCCAGACGCAGAGAGATCCAGACAACACATACACACACTCACAGATCCAAAACATATGGCTCTGGGAGGGCAGTCCTGAAACCACAGCTACACATGGACCCATGCTGTGTCACATACAAGCATTGTTAGTTCTACCCATTGCCTCCCTGACATAAACTTTGTCCTTCAGGACCCAAGCCTTCTCTTGACAGGCCATTTTCCCAGTGTTCCCATAGCACTTTGTATGTAGCTCTACAATTGCATTTTCATTTAGCATTGTAATTGTTGGCCTGTCTCCTCTAGTATTCTGAAGATTTCTTGAGGTAAATGTTCTTGTCACATGTAAATGTGTGTCCCCAGCATCAAGCATGCAGCCTGGTATTTAGTTAGTATGTATGGTGCTTAATAAATGATTGTTGAATAAATGAATAACAGAACAAATGCATTCTGACAGTGGGGCATCCATTCCCAGGTTTCTTCAGAAGCACATGAGATAATCAATGCATGTTGCCCATGCTTCTGGCCTTGCCTTCTTGCCTCCTGGTCACCTGATCTTACTGCTTCTCAGTTTCCTCAAAGGCCCTTCTTTCTCCTTCTTCCCTCAGTCTGGAACCATGAGTTTGAGTACCACCTGAGGGCTGGCAGGCAAGGGTTAATGACACCTCATTAGTGTTTAATTGGAGGAAGGAAGCTGCCCTGGCACCAGACAGGTGGGCAGGTCTGCCCCTTGCTGGAACCAAGCATCCTTAGTTCCAGCACCCTGCAGGGTGTGTGGGTGATTTGGCCCTGGAGACCCTCAACCCAGCTGGGGCACCTCCCCCTACCATTTGCTTTGCCAATTTTGTCTCCAGGCAGTACAGACCAGCCCTCCCCATCTGTCACCAAACATCCTGAGGGAGAGGCCAACTCCTTATCCTTTCTCCTTTAGCCAGGTTTTGCCCCCTCCCACTCCCAGGAGACTCTGGAGTCTGGAAAGAGGGTCGGGAGAGGGGTGGGCTATGGAGCTGAGCAACTCAATGTCAGCAAGGGATGAATTAGGGATACAGACAGTGACAAGGCTGGGGATGTGATGTCTGCCCAATTTGACCTTAAATGAAGAGAATGCAAATGAGATGCAGACAATATGCAGATGAACACGAGGATTTCAGAACTGACATTCCTGGTGGCAACAGCTCCTCACCCAAGACCCCAATGCTGTCTCCAATACTGTTCCTCCAAAGCCTAGGTTAAGTAGGGCTGACCACTACTTTGAATAAGAAAAAGGATCTCAAGAAAGCTAAGAGCGGGGTTGGGCTAGGACCTGAGAAGCTCATCTCCGCCCCAGCCTCCCCGCCCCCATCCCAAGCACCTACTCAAGCTGCCACAGCAGCTCAAGCAACAACCACTCTCGAGGTTACGCTCGGACGCACCGTCGGTTGCTATGGGGACCCCCCTCCTGAACCAATGGTTATCACCGCTGATGACCTCATGCCCCAGGCCCCAGGATTCTATTGGCTATTTGGAAGCCAGAATGCACCCTCCTCAACTGCGTCACCGCTGGGGATCCCCCAATGACCCCAGCTGGTGTGAAGGACTGAAAGAAAGGCGCGCTGGGAGCTCGCGATTTGCTGAATGAGTAAGAGAAGGAAAGAAAGAATTAATGAAAGAGAAGAAGAATGGAAGGAGGGGGGAAAATCACTGAAAAAAGACCAAATTTAAGCCTTTAGCCTCGAGGGAAAGAGGACGACTTGCAACCCTGGGAAGTGTGGAGTAGGATCCTGGTCGCAGAGACGCAGGATCTCAGGAAAGGGTGATGGGGTGAGGCAAAGATGAGGGAAGTTTTCGGAGAGACTAGGGCAAGCCCAGCAAACTGAAGGCCCCACCCTCGGCTGTCTACCGCCGCTGAGTTTAGGGGAGATCGGTGACGCCCCAAAACTTGCAGGCCTGCCTAGTCTCCTGGAACCGCACCCCGGAACACGCCTCGAGGACTTCTCGTTGGCAAGGCCCGGTGCCCAGGAGACCGCCCAGTTCCTTCAGCCGGTCTGGGCTCTATGAGCGGCGGACTCGACCCTCGCTCTCCACGGGGACGCACCCTGTGACTGATTAGCCGCTCGCACAGGGTACAGGCTGTGAGGAAAGTGCGTGTAGAAATAAGACAGCCTTGGTCTAAGCGTCTGCGGCCGGGCAGGCCTGCGTTTGCGAACCCCCAACCCAGCTCCTCGCGCATGTGCGCAGCCGCGGAGGTGTCTGCACTCGCACCCGCAGGGAACTGGGCGGCCGGCGAGGGCGTGTGACTGTGTCAAGCGTGCGCGTCTGAGTGAGGCTTGTGTCTGAGTGCTGGAAAAGCCGACTGGGCCCCATGCCTGTTCCGCACATGCGTTATCAGTGACGGATCGCGCGCCGGCCCCAGACTCGAGAGTGAGCGCGCCTATCTTGGTCCGCGAAGAAGGGGTGTCGGGGGTTGCTGGGAGCTGGGTGAGAGAGACCCTTACAGTTCTCAGTCCAGGGCAGGGACTAATAACAGTCGCACCCATCCTGCCCCACCTGTTTCATTGGGAGGGGCAGAGGTAGCAGTAAAGTCGGTTTCCATGGCGACATCTAGATAACCCCCTGCGTGAGGGTAGAAATGGAACTCGAACCCAGGACTGGAATCTCACATCAGTGCAGACCCCAGCCTCTTCTCTGCGCCCCAGCCCCTCGCCCCCGCTAAAGATCTTGGTTTGGAGTGAGGGAACTGACACACCAATACGCAGGCACACGCACCTAGAGATTTCGCATTTTCTCAAAGTGGTCTCGAATTGGGGGAGGGGCCGACTCCTCTCTGCCTAGCCCGCGGTGCAGCCCCCTACCCCAGGCCAGACCAAGGGAATTAACAGAAGCCAGAGTGTGGTGCTTGGGGCGTGGTGGGGTGGGAGAAGAGGGTCTCCATCGCCTTCCAGAGGGCCTGGGATCTGACCTATGTATATACAACGGGGTGGGGGAGAGATTCGCAATCTTCACTATCACCGTGTCTGTCAGTCTCCGGACCCCCAGTCCCTGCTGCCCCACTCTATCCTCCCCCCGCCCCCGTGTTCACACGCCGCCTCTCGTTGCCGCAGCCTGGCCGAGCTAATCAGCACAACATCCACCTATTGATCGCTGGCTCCGTGCCAGGCGGGCCGGCACAGTGCCAAGGGAGCCCGCAGGGCACCAGGGTGGGCAGAGCACAGCTGCGGGGGAAGGAGCACCCCTTATGCTGCCTCCACCCGGGCCACCGTTCAGGAGGGATCAGGTAGAGCTTGGGGAGACTACAACCTCGCCTGCCAGAGGTGAGGGAGACTGTGTAGGGCTGAGAGCAAAGGGGGCCCTCCCTCCTCGGCCCCACCCCCTCCTCCTTATAAAAGCGAAGAACAAAGAGGCCGCTGGGGAAGGAGGCTTTGATCTGACCCCACCTTCCCAGTTCTAGGCCAGGCACCGCCCAGAGTGCCCTTGGGGAGGAGGAGGGATGCCCAGCTCTCAGGGACCCAGGCATTCCGAAACCCAGCCTTTCTACCAACCCTTGCTTTTGCCCCAACGCCCTGCTGCCAGGGCTTGGGCAGTGCTCTAAGTGGACAGCCATCGGGAGTATCTGCCTCCTCTTCAGCATAGGAAGCTGGCTGGGGAGGTGGGAGGTGCCAAGCTCCACAGCTGCTGCTGGCACCTACCCCATACAGAGCGGTGCCCACTGAGGCCTGGCATGGATGGCCCAGGCACAGCTGGCAGGGAGGTCAGGCCAAGTCAAGCTGGGAGCACAGGCCACAGGAGTCTTGGTGTCAGGGAAGGAGCCAAAGGGCAGGTAGTAGGTTGGGGTGGGCAACAAAAAGAGGGGTGGTTTATTGAGGGTTTGGTCCCGACACATATAAAAATACAAATTGGCATGAAATTCAACCTCATGGCAAGTCCGTCTTCACAGAAGACAAGTGAGTGATCCCCTAGGGAGGGCAAAGTGCTGCCCCCCGGGAAAAGGCCCACTGGGCATTGGGCATAGACACCAAGCCTGGGTTTCTTCCTGGCCCTGGCCCAGCAATCCACCTGTCCCCAGGTTTTCTGCCCCTAGATGGCTCAAGGATTCCATTCTGCCAAATTCCAGTCTTCCTGGGGGATTGGAAGAGACCAGGAAAGCAGCTGACAGGAACCCTATGCTTGTTTGCTCCAGGGTGTTCAGGGCTGTCTGCAGCTCCCCTGGCTAATCTTTAGCTTATGGTGAGGAGGCGAGCCCCTGCAAGGGTCACCCAGACCCTCTGATTTTCCCCGTCACTGCTCCATCTCGTCTGTCTGGCTTGGCATTCCCAGTTCAGGTGGCAGGGTTCCCTCTTCCAGGTGTCCTGAGGGGGCTCTGGCTCCCAGGGGGTGACAGAGAGAGTCCGCTTGGCTCAGAGAACTCGAAGGAGGCGCAGGATTGGGAGCAGCAGTAGCAGCAAGAGACAGAGGGGGCTGGGGGCGCTCCCCCCTTGCCATCCCGATGTGCCACTCTCTCCAGGGCTCCCAACAGGATGAGCTGACTCAGACTCTGTAAGGGGGAGGGGAGCACTGATGGATCCTCCTACTACTGCAGCCTCCCTTCTGTCCTCCCTATTAGCTATTCCATCCTATTAAATTCTCCAGGGTCTCCCAAACCAGCCACTCCCTTCCCATAATCCACCACCTCATCCTTCCTAAGCCCTAACTTCCAAGTCTCCTCCAAATTGCTATTAGAAACAACCAGCCCAGCTAAGGCCTGGAAGGGCCTTCCCCCTGGAGACCCTATTATCTCAGTCGAGCACAAAAAATGGGTACCGTGGAAGCTCTCACAGGGCTAAAGGGAAGAGGCCACAGCTTGAAGCTCCACCTGGACCCCTCAGAGTCTGATGCTCCCAGATTCTCTCCATTCCATCCCTCCCTCCCAAGGGGCCCCACACTAGACAGAGGGTTGCTCCCTGTGGCCTACCCCACTTACTGCTCTCTTTGCAGCAGACAGACACCTGGAGCCTCAAACACTGGCCAGAACTCTCCGGAGTTGGCACCGCTGGGTGATGGGAAATTGGGAGGAAGCAGTTAGCAGTTAGCACTGGAAGTCACCCCTTTGCACGCCTCAGACTCTGTTTTAGACTCTTCCAGTTCCTCTTCCTTCCAGTTCCCTGGAAAGCTTTCCCTTACTATTGTGCCATACCTTGGTGCCAGGACCCATCCATGGCTCTCCTTGCTTCCCCGGGCCCCTTTCTTGTTCCTCTCCTTTCTCCTCCTCTCTATACTCACTCTAGATGTCTCCCTATTTAGTCCTGGGCTCAGCCTCTCTCTGGGTTTTAGGGACCACCAACCCTCCCCTTCCCAGGCCTCTCTCTGCCTTTATTTCCAGTCCCTCCATCCCCCTCTCTGAGGATCTCTGCCTTGACTAGCAATGGCAGGAAGCAGTATGCCTCTCCTTCCACTCCCCCCCCACCCCCACAGGCATCCAGCATGCCCTTCTTCACTCACAGATGTAGTAGTAAGTCTCTCCAGGCAGAAACTCGAAGCCAAGGGAGAAGGGTGTGAAGCGCTGAATCTTTTCAGAGAATCGAACAGGGCCAAAGGGAGCAAAGGGGCGGGAGCACTCCCAGCGTTTGAAGGCACCTGCCCCCTCTGCCTGGCAGGCCTCATAGCCAGACCAGTCCACCATGTACAGAGCAAATGTCTCAGGGCCCTCAGGGGGTCCTGGATCCTCATAGTGCGGGCAGAAGATGTCTAGGTAATCGTTGAGACCCAGCTCCACCAAGGCGTCACCTCGAAGCAGCCTGCAGGCATAGGGGAGGTGGGCACAGAACAAGTGGGATGAAGGGGTCAGAGATATCCCCTCCTGGAAGTTCCTGCCAGCCTCCTCCTGACCCATTAGAGATGGAGCAGTTCTGGAAGGCCCGAGTTCCCCAGAAGACAGCTTTTGAGAGTGTAAGAAATGGATGAAGGGACCAATTCACAGATGAGCAAAGTGAGATTCAGAGAAGTTCAGAGACTGCAGTGCTCATAACCACATGGTTTAAATAGGAGGCCATTTGTTATACACTGCCTTTTGTGCTGGAGCAGTTACCCACCTCTATAGCCCCAGTGCCTGACACAGGGCCTGGCGTAGAGCCTGTGCTTGATCAATGATAGGTAGATGGATGCTGTGAAAGAGCTGGAGCAGAAGGGCAAGGGGTACAGATATGGGCCCATAGGGCAGCTAGACACAGATGGAGACAAAGAGTAGGAACAGTATTCTTAATAAAGATGCAGAGAGAAAAAGAATGCCTTTTAGATCTGGATCCAGTGGTGAAAAGAATACTGTGGTAGAAAAAGAACGAAAGTGCAAGCTGAGTGCCTCTGCTTTTTTGCAGGACAAGGAAGTGCCAGGCATGAAAGGGAGCCCCCTCCACACGGGAGGGGCTGGGATAGGTTATACCCCCCGCACCAGATATTGCACGAACCCCCACCCCCAGCCCCAAACCATTCATTACACAAGCAAAGGCAGACTTTTGAATGTATCCCTCAAGTAATGGGCCACCTGCATCAGAAGGTTCTGATTAGAAATGCAAACTCCTGGGTCCAGCCCAGACCTACTAGAACACAAGCCGGGCAAAGTCAGGGCTTTTTGTATTTATTGCATCCTCAGTGCCTTGCGCAGTGCCCTGCACATGCATAGCATTCAATAAATATTTGTGGATTGAATGAATGAACCAGAACCATCAAGATTGGGGGCTAGGAACCTAAAGTGATTCAGAGGCACTGGTCTGGAACAGAGATAGGAATTGAGAGCTGGAAGACAACAATAGCTTTTACCACAAGGTATTGTAATGGCCTGTTTTTATGTGTGTCCCGACCAGGGTCTGTGGACGCCCAGAGGGCAGAGTCTTGCTCTTCTCATCCCTAACATACTAGCACAGATCTGGGCACAAAGTGTGTGCTTAAATAAATGTTAGTGAGTGAACAAATGAACATAGTCACAGATTGTGTCAGGCAGAAAATCGAGAGGAAAACAGATGAGGAAAGCAGAGAAGCAGATAGAATTGGGGAGGGGGATGGAAACAGTAAAAAATATCGAGGTTCAAACACAGGGAGCTCAGAAGACAGAAACAAATAATCGTTTATATCTGTACAGCCCGGAACCTCTTCCACACAAACGACCTCGGTTAGCCTGTTTCAGCCTTTCCAGGGTAGGCCAGGGTAGTAGGTATTAATAGCCCATTTTACAGACCAGACAACTGAGGTTAGGGAGTTCATATGACTTGCCCAAACGTGATTCACTAGAAGAGGCTGGGCCGAGACAGGATAGAAATCGAAGCAGCGATAAACACAAGAGATGAAAGTAGAGATAACGAATGAGATCAGGAGACTGAGTGCCAAAGGGGTAGGTCAAGCAAGCAGGAGAGTAACCTAGGCTCTTTCACAAGAGTAAAACCCCTTTCCTCACTCTCTTGTCAGCCCGTCTCGCCTCCGACCGGCGGGAGCCTGGGGATCACCCAGAGCTAAGAGAGGGGGGCGGGGCCCAGAGTACAGGCCGAGGCCCCCCACCTCTGGGTCCCGAAAGCCCACTGCTCGCCCTCGGACATGAGTCTTCTGCCGGCCCCGCAACATTTGCGGGCGGGGGAGCCTCGGGGCGCGTCTCGCCCCTCCCCCCTCCCCCGCCGGCTCAAACAAAGGAGCCCCGGCGCGCGGCCGGGCTCAAGCGGCGCCGCGCACAGCGCGGGTGGCTGGTGCACGCCCAGCTCGGGAACGCGCAGGCCCGGTTCGGCGTCCTTCCGGTTCGGTCCGGCTACCTGGGGTTACTGGAGTTCCAGTAGACGGCGTGGCGGAGGCTAGAGCCTCCCCGCAGCGGGGAGCCGAGGAGCGCAGCCCAGAGGACAGTCCGCAGCAGGGGCAGCAGCCGCATCGCCCCCAGGGTCCGGTCTGCTCTGATCTGGCCCGTCCCGGCCCGCTTCCCAGTCAGGGCCAGAAAGGTACAAAGTGGAGGGGGGTGGTGGTGAGAGGGGTGGGGTGTGGAGACTCACAGGCTACGCCCCCGAGTAACTTTCCACCAATGGAAGCGTGTCTCCGCCCCTCCACTCAGCGCCAACTCCAGGTTAACTCTTTGTGCGCTGTAGCGCGTGGCGCGCGCGCTACTTGAGCAAAGCTAGTAGAGGCCCGACCTCCCTGCGAGGGGGCGGAGAGGGGAACTTATTCCTCTACTGAAAGTTTTTTTTTTTTTTTTTTTGAGAAAGTCTGGAGTGGTACAGGGTAGAATACCTTATTTAAACTTGGAAGACTTTAAATAGAGGCATGCTCCCTTTCTCCAGACAGGGAAAAGTGAAGCACGGCGAAGATCCTTGAGGTCTGTACAGCCACCTGAGCATATTGCCCCCTTTTTCTTTGCACATCTGCCAGACTGGGGTTGCGCGATTGGAAGGGACAAAAGCGCTTCCTGGGACACTCCCCCCTTTCCCTGTGGAGCCTTAGGTAGCGCGCCCGATGCCCACCTTAGAGTTAGAGCCTGCCTCCCTCCTCCCCACACCATCGTTCTGGGCAGCCCTGAAGATGAAGTCGTGAAGTAGTTGCGACCTGTTCAAAGAACCTTTGTTCTCGAGCCCTCAGGTAGGGGCGGGAGACGAGGAGGAGGCAGGTGCGCGGCCTTGGGACCGTGGGAGCCGCCGCCCCGTTCCGCCCCGGCTCTGGGGCTCTGAGAACGCTAGCCAGATCCACCTCTCCCAGTCACTGGTCAAAGGGTGGGTACCACGGGTCTTACGGCCTAGCTGGTTTGTCAGTAACTGTCCCTGGTGGCTGCACGGTGTTGGGGGCGAGGACTCGGCGACTGTGGGTGGCAAGGAGCGAACAATTTCCTGTGACACAGGATGGAGCCGAGAGACATCCCAGGCTGGGCAAAACCTAGCTGCGAGCATCCCGGGGACGCACACTGACCTAGCTTGGGACTCCCTCCCAACTCCCGCTTGCCCTCAACTGAGGCAGCAGCGTCTCCTGGCGGCCAGACCTGGAACCGCTGCAGGGGTGACCCGGTCTTCCCAGAACAGACAGGCTCTGAGGCGCGCTTCCAAGATCTCACGTTTATTGCAGCCGAGCAGACAGGCTGTGCTCTCTCACCTCCCTCAGCCCTGACCAGCCCCTAGCCCCTCCTCAACCCCAGCGCGTGGTGGTCTGGTGTCTGAAGAGGCCTGCTCTGCCGCATCTAGGCTGTCTCCTTCGGTCATCTCCTTCAGTCATCCCAAGGACTCCAATGGATGGATCCGCTTCTTGAAGTCCTCCCTAAGTCGGCGTTGGAGGTGGCCGACCCATAGAAGAGGTCAGAGGTTGAGGGAAGGCACTGCTGGCGGTGGTGGTGCTGGCCTGGGTTAGGGAAAATGGATGTCAGAGGCTCCTTTTTGCCAGACCAATTGATGGACCCCTCATTCTCAGCGCCCCTCCTTGCCTACCTGGAAGGTATCACTTGGGGTGGAATTCTAGTTCCTGGGCCAGCCAGGTTATCTGATGGGCGCCGGCCCTGGGGGTCAGAAGGCAATGGCTTCCTTGGGGGTGGGGGCTTGCCAGTCCCCTGAGACTGAGAGAAAGAAGGCAGGAGGCTGGCTTGGGAGGGGGTGTTAAGTTGCCCACCCCCTGATGCACAGGCGGCGGGGACCACTCATCTTGGGAGCAGCACCCAAAGGGCACCCTTGTCTCCACACAAACCTGTCACCTTTAAAGTCACCACTGGGATACGTGCCCTTGGGCACAGAGGGGGCATCTTACCATGGCCACCACCTCAAAGGCTACCAGCACCACAGCCTAGGTGGGGAGAGGGGCCATGCCCTTCTCTCTCCCCACTGTTACCTTCAGTTGCCTCACCACCGGATCGGCGGGGAGAGGGCGAGTGGGGGGATTGGGTCGCTCAGCCAGCTTGGCCTGAACAGAGAGAGGGGCAGTGGCCATGAGAGCGCAGCCACAGGCAGTGGGCATGCAGAGGTTCCCTGGAGATGTTCAAGTAAACATGCAAAGCCAGTCAATTAAGGGGTGGGAGAAAGTGGGGGCATGCATAGTGGGCTTGGGTGGATGCCAGAAGATGCCTCAAGGGAGCAAGGGGTAGGTCACCAACTGCAGTCCTGCCAATGACCACCAGATGGTGGTAGAAACCAATGCTGGAGGCTCACCCTTTTCTGTTTCTAGGGTTGAGTGTTGAGGATTAAGGGGCACCCTGGTCACCAATGAAGAGTCCCACTGGCATGGAGCAGGGATGAGAATGGCCATTGAGTACCAAGCCTCCCACCTGCTCTTGGCTAGGGAGGGCCTGGCCCAGATTTACCTGCAGTCTCTTGGGCACAGGGTCAGGTGGCAGCGGCCTGGAAGGAGGGGCCGGGAAGCCGAGAGCACTAGTCTGCCGAGAGAGCAAGAGGAGCAGGCGGGCATAGAGGTGGGGAGGGGAGAGGGAGCAGAGAGACACATGTGGCAGACAGGGGTTAGTGCTCAGGGAGGGGCAGCCAGGACCCCAGGGGCAGCCAGGCCTGTTCGTGCAGTTATTCAGTTGCGTGCAGAGGGGGGCGACAGTGGTGTAGTGGGCATGCAGGGCACTTTCACATGCATACTCCTGTCATCACATCCAGAGGGCTAGGGGCAGGGACACTCACCAGCCCTTCTAAATGATGACCTGGGCCTTGGCAGGTCCTGGAGCACTGAGGGCCATTCTGAGCACCACCCCCCTTGTGCCCTCCAGGGGCCACTGCTGGGAGCACACATAGACCCACCTCTCAAAGCCACCAGCTTGGCCAGCTCAAAGAGCTCAGCAGACCCTCTTCTAAGTGACCGCCCCTCCCCTACTGCAAGCCAGACTCAGCTTCTCCACCTGCAGCCAGGGGAGGGGGAGGGAAGGGAGGGGAGAGGTGGGGAGGGGAGGGAAGGGAGGACTGGGGTGCCCTGATTCCTTTGACTGACTCTTGGACAGTGCTAGCTTTTCTTTGGGTCTAAAGCCTTCAATGCCTCCTCACCCAAGGGCCTAAGTGGGATGCCAGGCCAAGCTGGGCCCCTTCTTCTCTGTCATCCAGTACTCACCTTGGTGCTTAGCATCAGCAGGGCCCTCTGCGGGGGTCCTGGGTGCTCTGGGGGACCAGACTGAGCTGCCCTGAGCATGGAGAAGGCAATAAGGGAGAGGGCCCAGCCTCAGACCCTGTTCTCCACCCATATGCCTCCCTTGAGAGGGGTTAACCCTTTGCAGCCCTTTGAAGAGGATCTTATGTGAGGTTTCTGCTAAGTGAGGAGACTTGAGGAGAGGACATGACCAGCTGAGGGAGGGTGCCACTGGCCCAGCACCACTGAAGCAGGGGATCCTGACATCCTAGCTACCCCACAAGGGTGTAACATATAAGGTGAAGAGTTACAGCATTACATGTAGGAAGGGGAGGTGTGTGGAGTATGGCAGTCAGCAAGTTTAGGGTGCGGGGGAACCAGGTGGTGGGGGCTGCAGAGAGGGTAGAACAAAGTTCCAGAGCTGGTGTCCCCAGTGGAGGGTGTTGGGGGCAGGGAGGTGAGGCTGGTACCTGTATTGGCAGTTGGGTCCCTTGAGTTGGCAGAGCCGCTGGCGCAGGTGGGCACGGTACCAGTAGCTGGCACCGAGCAGCACCAGGATCAGCAACAACAGAAGGCTGAGGAGCAGCCCTGTGGTCAGGGAGCTGGTTTCTGTGGGGATGAGGTTAGGTTTAAATGTGGGAAGGGTTATGAACTCTATATGCTGGAAGGAACAGGGAGCAGGAAGTGAGGTCAATGACAGAGAAAGTTAAGGAGTCAGGGGCCACATAGAGTCAGGGAACCAGAGGCAAAGGGGTCAGAAAAAGCAGGGCCAAGGGGGAAGGTAAAGGATGAGGCACTCTCCCCTCTCTGTAGTCTCTGCCCCTTCTGTGCTACCTCTGATCTGGGTGGTGCAGTCAGGGGGTGCCCATCCCTCCTCACAGTGACAGTGCTTATTGCTGTCGCAGACCTACAAGGGACAGGGAGAGTGATTAGGAGCTCTGAACCGTGGAGCTGTGTTTGCCTGTCCCCAGCTTTTTCAAGATATGATTCCCACATCTGGAGGGTGCATGGGGATGAGGAGTCCAGAGAGCCAGAGCCCTGGAAAGAGGGAGCCCGTAGCCATGCCAGGGAAAATGAGATCAAAGTAACATTTACTGAGCACCTTCTATATGTTGGGTGCTGTGCTAGAAGCTTTCACACTTGCCTCATGTATCCCATGAAGCAGGTACTATCGTTATGGCCATTTGACAGATGAGGAAACTGAGCTCAGAGAGGTTAACAACCTGACCTAAGATGAACAGCTAGGAAGTAGTAGAGCAAGGGATTAGAACCCAGGTATATCTCTTCCCAAAGCCCATCAGCCTTTTGATCCCTAGAGGATCCCTGCCCCCTCCCTATGGCAGCTCACCCCATGCCCATGGCATTTGCTTCGACACTCTTGTGCCCCTAGGAGAGTCACAGGCTGGCATCGATGATCAATGCATACCTGCATAATGGGGAGAGAAGAACAAAGATCACATTCTCACAAAGGTTTTCTGGGACTGGAGGCCAGCAAGGCTGAGGTCACACCCATGCTTTTACAGATGGGGAAACCAAGGCTCAGTGAGATGACAGGACTTAGCTCAATCTGAAGAATCAGAACACCCCTCAGATTCAGTGCCCTTTACACTAGTGGTTAATGTGGCCTGGGCCCTGCTCGTCTCAGGCCAGATGTCCCTGCCCACCCAGGCTGCTCACCAGGCCAGGACCACAGGCTGTGCCAGGCAGAGTCAGGAGGGGCTGGGCCACATCGTTGCCCAAGTCCAGGTGCACCCAGCTGCAATTCAGCTGAGTCCCATTAGCTTCCAGCATCTCCCAGATCAAGTCCTGGACTGACCCTAGCAGAGGCTGGGCTCTACCCCCTTGGCACTGGAGCTGTCCACAGATAGCATCTCTGAGAAGAAGGGGCAGAGGGTCAGTGGGGGCAGGGCCAGGGCGCCCACAAACCTATAGGAAGAGCAGGTTTCCCTCACTTACCTAGGGGCACAGGACACGTAGCTGCCCTTGGGGTTACGGCCACAGTTCCCAAAGGCATCCCCCCTAGTGTTGGCAGTACGGAGGCAAAGAGATGAGGCAGGCTGGGCCCCAGGTCCCCAGAGTGCCTGGCACTGCTGGGCATAGGAGGTACAACGTCCCTGCATGCACACGGCCTGTCCACCAGCACAGGGCTCGCCATTCCCCAGGCTGACGTCAGGGGGGCACTGGGAGCTGTTTCCTGGGCAGAACTCAGGCAAGTCACAGTCACCTCTGGGAGGACGGCACTGCCAGCCAGCTGGGCGCAGCTGTGGAGGTTGAACAAGCATTAGTGTGGGCAATGGGCAAATTCAGCCAGGCCCTGGGGGCCAGAATGACCCTTTCCCTGCTTGCCCCTGGCAGGGGAGCTCTAGATGGCCAGTCCAGTCTGTACCTACCTGGCAGTTTTGACAACAGGGCCCACTGGATGCACACTGTGACCCTGGCCTCAGCCGGCAGGTGAAGGAATCACAGCAGGGATCTGTGCAGTCCTGTGGGCAAGGGCATTGAGGAGGCTGGGTCTGGAGCTAATCTCCAACCCATCCTCCCAGAGGAGACTGAAGGCAGCAAGTGAGAGCTCAAGCCCCACAGTCCATGTGCTTTCCCTGCAGACAGCAGGGTGGGAGAAGCTTGGGAGGCCCCTTAAGGAACCAGAGAGGGGCAGAGGCTTAGGAGGCTGGGACAGGAACTAAAGAGCCAGGGTGGGGGCACAAGAATGAGTGGGGCAAGGCTTTGGGTGAGAGGGGGCTCACATCCGGGAAGCCACAGTCACACTGCTCGCCTGGCTCCACAAACTTATTTCCACAGACAGGATCTGTAGGGGACAGGCTGGGTGGCCGTTCAAAGAGGCAACTTCCCAGGCCATCCAGGAGTGCTTTCTCCAGGGCCTGTCTGCTGCAGTTACTGAAGTTCAGGCCTGGCAAGAAGCTGGGGAGGGTGGAAAGGAGGTCTGAGCTGTGGCCCTCTCCCTGCCCACTGCCCCAGCCCCTCCCTGCATCCCTGTTACTCACTCTGTGGAGGCCTCCATGATGCAGCTCTTAGCTGGGGCTGGACCTGGACAGGGACAGCTGCTTCCAGGCAGGTCATGGTCCAGGCCTAGACTGTGGCCTAGCTCATGGGCTATTGAGGAGGCAACTCCCAGAATGCTCGTGGAGTGGTCCTGTCAGTGGGGAAGGGATATCCCAGGTCCAGCCCCGGCCTGCCTCCACCATAAAGAACAGTAGCCCAGTTCATCTTGACTAGTCCTGTTCTTGCCTCATCTGACCTCTTGGGCGCTCAGCTGGCACTGCCTACCTCTTTGATTGCTTCTGAAGTAGGAGGATAGCCCAGGCCTGGGTGGCAAGAAACCCAGGTTCCAGCCAGCTTGGCCTCCCACTCTCACTCTGTGGTCCTGGGATATCACTCCACTTTGGGCCTCAGTTGCTCCCTCTCCCCTCCCCAAGCAATGGGAACACCTCATAGGTGAAGGCTGTGGACATGTACATTGTGATGAATTGGCTTCAAGTGAGGGGTTCTCTGACAGTAGAGGCCCTATCACGTACCCCTACACCTATAGCTTTGGGGCTGGGTAACCTTGTAGTAGGGCTTCAGTGAATAAATGATACCACAGCTGGGGTGAATTGAATTGGGAATGGGGAGGAGACCTGGAAATACCTCACCATGTTCACACCTCCTGAGAAGTCAGGAGAGCAGATGGAGTTCTGAATGGCCATGCCCACCATGGGCCCAGAGAATGAAGTAGCACTGTGGGATTGAGAGGTCAAAAGTCAGGACTTGAAGCCAAAGGGGCAGAGCTTTAGGGCCTCAGGTGAAGAGTTGAAGGAGTATGAAATTGGCCAGGACAGAGCTGACCCTGGTGGCTGAGCCAGGGGGCCTTACGTCACCAGCTGGGCACTGTCATGGGGTAATCGAGGCAGCAACTCTGCCCGGCGCCAATGGAGGAAGTTGTCTAGCGTAATGCTTGGGTTCGAGCTTATCTCCACCAGGTCCACCTGGGTCCAGGCCTCCAGGCCCACTAGTGCCACCCGTACATTCAAGGGCTGGAAGAACTGAAAGAGAATGGGGGCTCAGGAACGAGGTTCCCATGGTCAGGGGCCACAGAGAGGCTGTCTAGCCTGGCACTCACTGTGTCCAGGAGGAAGGCCACTTCCAGTGTGCGGTTCAGCAGGTGTTGGAAGTCTGGGTACCTCTGGACCTGTGGGCCAAGGGAGGTCACCTTGAAGAACGGCAGGACTGGTGAGGGTTGGGGAAGGACATGCTGAGGCCAGCAAGCTCACCTCCGAATGGTCGGCTACGATCACCAGCTCAATAATTTTGGTCTCCGTCACCACATCCCGCCTCCACTGTGGACAAGGAGAAGAAAGAGCATCAGACACACCCCGCTGCTCACTGCCAACAGCTGCATAGGGCTGACCAAGTTGTGTCCACTCCCACCTTGGGTGGTCAGAGGAAGGTGGAGATCCCATTTTATAGATGAACCACTGAGATCCAGAGAGTCCAGGACTTGCCCAAGGGGGTCAAGAAGTAGATTATAAACCTGGTAGTTAAGCTCTACTTTCCTAGCTCCAAACTCAGTGCTTTCTCCAAATTAAAAAAAAAAAAAATAGCGACTATTGAGTACTTGGAATCCCTAGGTGGTACAGTTAACATGGTTGGCTGCTAATTTAAATGTTGGAGGTTTGAGTCCACCCAGAGGCACCTCATAAGAAAGGCCTGGCAATCTACTTCCAAAAATTCAGCCACTGAAAGCCCTATGGAGCACATTTCTACCTGATACACATGGGGGTCACCATAAGCTGGAGTCAACTTGGCAGTACCTGGTTTATCCAATGCTTACTATGTCAGGCACAACCCTGACATATATATATGTATATATATATATGTATGTATATATATATATATATATGCATATGTATGTATGTGTGTTGTGTGTGTATACACACACACACACACACACACACACACATATATATATACACATATACGTATATAGGAGCTCTGGTAGCATAGTGGCTAAAGCACTTGACTGCTAACCAGAAGGCTGGCGGTTCAAACCCACCAGCCACTCCTCGGAAGGAAGGTTGGGCAATCCTACTTCCGTAGTGATACTGCCTCGGAAACCCAAGGAGGGATCGCTATGAGTCAGGGCCGACTCGACGGCACTAACAACAACAACAACATATATGTATATATATGTGTGTGTATATATATATATATGTATATGTGTATATATATATATGTATATGTATGTATATGTACATACAAGGAGCTCCAGTAGCACAGTGCCTAAGGCACTTGACTGCTAACCAGAAGGGTGGCGGTTCAAACCCACCAGCCATTCCTCAGAAGGAAGGTTGGGTGTGATGGTTATGTTTGTGTGTCAATTTAGCTGGGCCTGGTTTGAGTGGCTGGGCAGCTGAATGTAGTATTCCCCATGATGAGACTGGTGATCAACTCCATGGTGGAATCTATTGGGAGCAGCTGAGTAGCTGCCTTTGGGATATGGTCTGCTTCCTGTATATAAGGAGAAGCTTTGAGAATTCTAGCCTATGGCACGCTTGGACCCTGCATGTAGCCATGTTGTTGCTCAGCAGCCTGCTATGCTCTGCTGACCTTGGGACTTACAATGGACTTAAGTTAATGGCCTGCCGTGTGGTTTGGTAACATCGGGACTGTGCCTTTTTACCTGTCACCCTTGGGGCTTCTCAGCCTCAGCAGCCTGCAGCTGTCTGAGTGAAGAAATGCCTCTAGCTCCAGTGGGCCAGGAGCAGGAGGCAGAGCTGGACCCAAGGTTGAGGGGCTTTCACCCAGCCCCTAAAGCCTGGCACTTTGAACTTGGACTTAAAGCCTCCAAATTTTAAGAATAAACTCCTGTTTGTTAAGGCCATCCCATTTGTGGGAAATATTCTTGTCAGAGCAGCACTTGGTAACCAGAACATTGGGCAACCTACTTCTGTAGTGATACTGCCTCGGAAACCCAAGGAGGGGTTGCTATGAGTAGGATCCGACTCAATGGCAGTGAGTTTGGTTTTTGCACATATATGTACAGGTATATGTATGTATATATATATATTTTGATTCATTTAATCTTCACAGAAACTATAAGATAAACAGGTATTTTTTTTTTTAATCTTCATTTTACAAATTAGGAAACTGGGCTTTGTGATTAGTAGCTAAGTATTTCCATACCCAAGTGAGATCTCTTTGCAAATGACATCATAAGACAAATGTAGAGTTTGAGTCAAATATCTATGTCTGAATTCTGGATGTACCATTTATTAGCTGTGTGGCCTTGGGCAAATCACTTAACCTCTGAGCTGGTTTCCTCATTTTAAAGTAAAGTTATTGATAGTACCTACCTCCTAGAGTTGCTGGGAAGAATAAAAGATAAATATTCACAAAATTCCTGGTATGTGGAAAATATTCATTAGCAGGAGCTGTTGTTACTATTGACAAATAGCACTGAGGCTCCAGGGGTCAGCCCTCCATACACCTGAAACCTAGCTCTTGCGCCATTCATCCTCACCCGGCGAGTGTGGCTCTGTCTCGGGGGGTGCTCTGGTGGAGCCTGAGTGGGCACAGATGCACCCCAGCTCAGGACACAGGTGTGGCCTGGCAGGAGGAAGTCTTGGATCCGGAAGATAACAGGGGGACCCAGAAGGTCCCCAGGCCCCAGCTCCAGAGCATAGCTTCTCTCTGGGGACAGGACCACTAAGCCCCTAGGAAAAGAAGCAGGAAGTCAGAGAGCATTTCAGCTCCATGCCTGGTGCCTCCTCACTCCCCTCCACCTTCATGGAATCTACCCACCACTGTACCTGAGACCTGAGCAGGTGCAGATGGAAACCCAGGAGTTTGCATAGCCTCGCACGCTTCCCTGGTAGCAGCAATTTTCCTATAGCAGAGAAACAACATTAATGCCAACTGGAAGGATAGGCCATGATTTGAACCCGGAGTCTAGCCTCTTGGTGAAAGCTAAGCAGTGTTTTCTGTATCCTCCAGTGATGGTGCCCCCAGTTGCCCGCTCCCTCCTTCTTCCAGACCAGAAAAAGGGCAAAAGGGTGTCTGACTCACCAGCATATATCCCTCACTGACTACCCTAGTGCCATCAGGCTGGTACCACACCAGGGTTGGGTGGCTGGGGACCACCTCCCTAGGGATGAAGAAAAAAAAAGGAGAGTGTCAGGACCACCTCCCAGGGTGGTACAGTGACAGGCTGGAGGCCTGGAGATGGCAACCCCCCCAGCCTTCCAGCCTCCCCCAGGAGCAGCAGAGTGTAGTCACTGGGCCACAGACTCTGCCAGGCTATCTGGGCTCCAGTCTGGTTTTCACCACACTAACTATGTGCCCTGAGGCAAGTTTTTTTTAACTTCTCTGTGCATTGGCTTCGTATATAAGATGAGGACAATAATAATAATAATAGTGTCTGCCTCATAGGTTTGTTATGAGGATTAAATGAGCTAAAGCACTTAGTCTTTGGCACACAAGTTGTCAACCATGTTGTTCTGTTATTATTATAATTACCATCATCATTATTACCTATTCTGTAGCAGCTCCAAGATATGACTTTCACCGTCCAGCTCCAATTTGATCTTCAGGGCCTCAGGCTGACTGGTCTGTGGGCACCAGAGGGCATGTCACCTCCCTGGCCTTGCCCATAACTCGTACCCTCTCTAACAGAAAACCTCATCTCAGGAGAGCACCAGCGATTAGATCATTGGGGGAGGGGGGATCCTGAGGGAGGGGCCAGGAAGCCCTGCCTGGCCTGGGGCATTGTTCTGGGGGGTTGTGTTGGGAGGTCAAGGAAGGTATCTGAGCCGCCCCTTCTCGGCTTCCTGCCCAGAGAGGAAGCATCGTGGAGGACCCAGTGCAGGTCCCAGCCCTTCCTCTGACTCAGCTTTAGAATTGGGGGGGTGGGGGTTAGTGAGGCTCTGATCCTATCCAAGAAGTACCCCCACTGAGAGAACTGACAACATGAGGCCAAAAAAGCAAGTTTGGCCTCAGAATTTCCTCAGTGGAGATGGATGGGATGGGTTGGGTAGGGATGAGGCTGACAGATGTGTGTGCAGAGGGGAGGGGGAAATAAGTGAAGCCAGGTGCTGGGGTGCAGTGAGAAAGTGAGCCAGACCTGGAATGGACCTGCTACAATGAGGTCCACTCCTCCAGACACCTGACTATGGGGGCAGGGGAAGGGGCTGGTAGACAGAGTGGTGGTGGGTGTATTTGTGTGTTTATTAGAGAGGAGAAGCTCACCTGAAGCACCTCAGCTAGGCTAAGCATGAGGTGGTCCTGAAGGATCTGAGGCTCCAAGGGACCACTCAGTGCCCTTGCTGGCCTTTCCTGCTCCTCAGTGTCACCTGCAGAGTCCCCAGAACACCCCAAGAGAGTGCTGGGATCATTAGCATGAGGGCTGAGAGTGGCTGGTCCCCTCCAACCCACCCAGCCCCCAACACATCCCATCTCTGAAGGGCCCCTGTACAGCATGCTGGAATTTAGAGAATGGAGGGAGGGGGGTCCTTCTTTTCAACTTACTCTTTTCAACCCACCAACCCATCCACACAGTCCTCAGAAAAGAAACTCATCCTGTCGCTCCTCCCAGACACCCTCAGGCCAATCCCGGGTTCCCAGAGGGACCCTCCCTCTATTCCTCCTCCCTCCCAATCCCCCCAAGGAACGCCTTCTCTAAGGACTAGGCGAGCCTTGTGGCCGGGTGCCCATTCACCCTCCCCTTCCTTCACAGCGGAGATGCCGGGAACGCCCATCTCTGGGTGAGCAGTGCAAACACTCCTACCTCCCTAAACACCCAGATGCCCAGTCAGGCACACCCGCTCTCCACAGCCTCCGCTTCCTCCTGGCGTTCCCCCACCCCAACCCCACAATGGCCCTCTCTCCTCCGGACACTCCACCCCCGCCTGCGCTCTCGGGCCCCCGGCCCAAGACAGCAGCGGGAAGTGAAAGTTCCAAGGAGGAGCTGGTGTCCCAGCCTCTTTCCTGGCCAATTCTCTCCTCTCCTGGCTCCTCCAGAGCCCCCTCCCGCCCAGCCAGATTTCTGGTGGCATCAGCCTCAGGGTGATGGGTGCCTCGCTGTCCAGGCCTAGGATGACAGTTCGGGAAGAAACCTCTCCGTCAAACCCTACAAGCCGTGCCCTCTCAGCGCCCTGGAACCGGGTGGAACGGTCAGCTAGGCCCCAGAGGAGCAAAGACGTCAGTACTGAGGAGCAGTGACCATCTCCCACGATCGTGAGGAGCGCTGACCCAGGTCCTTTGGTGTCTGGTACCAGAGCTTTAAAGTGTCTGCAGCGTCCACGCAGATAACCGACTAGGCTGGGGGTGCCGGCATTCCGCCTCCCCTTCATCGCCAAGTCGCCAGTCTCTCGCATCGAGTCAGTGGACCAGGGCAGGGTGCGTTCTCACCAGGCTCTCCCAGGGTCTTCAGCCGACCCCCAGAACCGAATGCCTCCCGACTTCCCCGCGCCTCCTCCCAGTCTGTCCCCGGCCCACTCCTGGCCGGGACTCACCTATATTTCGGAGCAGCCGGGAGGGTAAAGGGCTGCCGGCACCCAAAAGCCCCAGCGCCCAGAGCAGCGCCAGCCGCATGGCAGCGGCGCCCTAGACCGGGCTAGGCCAGCAGGTGCGGGGCTGCGCGCCGACGAGCAGCGGCGGCCGGGTCTGCTCTGCGCACCCCGCCGCGCGGCGCAACCTCCAGGCCCCGCCTCCCCTCCTCTGGCTATCCCGGGTGCCAGGCTCCGCCCCAGCCGCGGCTCCGCCCCCGTCGCGCAGCTGGTGCTAAGCCGAGACTCCGCCCACAAGGCTGGCTCCGCCCGCGCTGGGCAGCATTGCCACCTTCCCCATCGCCACAGTGCTGGGCGCGAGCCGAGCTTCGAAGCTCAGGCCGGGACCAACTAGTTTGGGCGTCATGGCACTGCCAGTCCCAGGTCTCAACCTCTCTCCCGGCTTATCTCCACAGCCCGGCTCTGTGGGGATCAGGCGGGCCAGCCCTCCCGACTGCCAGTGAAGGCGGCTTCTGGTTCACCATGACTCCGGACCCTTGCGAAGCGCGGACACCAGGCGTGTACAGAGCGTTTTATTTAAACAGAAAGGAACGGGATTGGGGAGTGGGCAGGAGCCCCCTCACTCTGCGTAGGTAGCATCGTCGTTACTGTCGCTGAAGGCGGAGGAGGAGAGCTCCTCGCGGGGTGTGCAGACAGGACACTGCTGCCGCATGTCGACCCAGCACGACTGGCAGTACACCGCCTCGCAGCCCGGCGTCGGGCACGTGTAGGACTCGGGCGCCTCGGGTGACAAGCACACTACGCAGCGCCGGCGCAACCAGCGACGTAAGAGAGGGCAGCGGTGGTGCAAGATGTCACCCAGGTGGTGGTGCTGTTGGAAGATGAGGCGTGCTTAGAGCAGTTAGGGAGCAAACCCAGGAAGAGTTGCTAGGGGCCCTGGAAAGCGCTCATTTTCTGAAGTCTCCGGGCTTGACTGCCACGCATGGTGGAGGCTGATGTGAACAGAAGAACCCAGAAGGGGGCGGGCCCTAAGGACATGGGTCCTAGAGAGTGTCCTTCTCCAACTCTGTTCACGTGATGGAGAGTGGGAGGATGCAGCCTCTAGACTCTTCCAGTAAATAACAGCAACAACTATCATTCACACTTTCCCATAAACCAATCATCTTATTTGGTTTTCACAGTCAGGCTGAGAAGTGAGTCACTCACTCACTGCCATGAAGTTGATAGCCACCCCCAATGTGTTTCCAAGGCTGTAAATCTTTAGGGAAGCTGACTACCTCACCTTTCTTCCCCAAAGTGGCTAGTAGATTCCAACCTACGATCTTTTGGTTAGCAGCCAAATGCCTTAACCACCAGAGCTCCTTGTGAAGTGATTAGGGCAGATAAAACTATCACTATTTTTGTCCCCACTTTATAGATGAGAAAGGTGACTCCAAGAAAGATTAAGTGATTTTCCCAAAGTCATGCAGCTAGTAAATGGATCAAATGGATTGGGTCCCAGTACCCTGATTTCAAATCGGGAGCCTTGGTCATTATGCCTCCCCACCCAAAACTCCACACACTTGCCAGGCATTCTTTTCCACCTTATCAGGTCATTCTATTGCTTCACAAACTCCAGGGGCCCCACTGCCTTGCCAAGCAAAGACAGAACTCCTAGGTCTGGCCTTTAGAGCCTTCTGTAATGTTTTTTTTTTTTTTTCCCCCTAGCCTCTGTTCTACTTTAAAAATAAACAATGAACAAGTTCCCACTGGTCTGTTCTGACTCATAGTGGCCCCATATATTGCAGACTAGAACTGTGCTCCTTAAGGCTTTCAAAGCTGTGGCCTTTCAGAAGCAGATTACCAGGACTTTTTTCTGAGGCACCTCTGGGTGGTTCAGAATCCCCAACCTTTTAGTTCATAGCTGAGCACTTAACCATTTGCACTGTGCCACCTTACCCCTCCCTGAATGTTGCCTCTTCTGTGTCATTTTCTCCCTAGACTCACCCTGGCACTTGGCATTCCCTTTGGTCTCTGAGACTTTGCACATTCTTTTCCCTCAGCCTGAAATGAATGTCTTTCACATTTCCACCTGCCCATCATTTATAAATTTAAGTTGAAGATGAAGAAAATTAAAACAAATCCACAAGAGCCAAAATATGACCTTGAGTTTATCTCATCTGAATTTAGAGACCATCTCAAGAATAGATTTGGTGCATTGAAGAGTGACCAAAGACCATACGAGTTGTGGGATGACAACAAGAACATCATAGATGAAAATAGCAAAAGGTCATTAAAAAGATAGGAAAGGAAAAGAATACCAAAATGGATGTCAGAAGAGACTCTGAAACCTGCTCTTGAAATGAGAGTAGCTAAAGTGAGTGGAAGAAATGATGAGGTAAAAAAGATCTGAACAGAAGATTTCAAAGAGCAGCTGGAGAGGACAAAGTAAAGTATTATAATGAAATGTACAAAGACTTGAGGATGGAAAATCAAAGGGGAAGAACATGGTCAGCATGTTCTCCAGCTAAAAGAATTGAAGAAGAAAAAGTTCAAGCCTTGACTTGCAATACTGAAGGATTCTGTGGGCAAAATATTAAACAATGCAGGAAGCATCAAAAGAAGATGGGGAAAAAAATGAAGTCATTGTACCAAAAATAACTGGTTGATGTTCAGCCATTTCAGGAGGGAGCATATGATCGAGAACCAATGGTATTGAAGGAAGAATTCTAAGCTGCACTGAAGGAATTGGCAAAAAACAAGGCTCCAGGAATTCATGGAATACCCATTGAGATGTTTCAACAAATAGTTGCAGTGCTGGAGGTGCTTACTCATTTATGCCAAGAAAGCTGGAAGACAGCTACCTGGCCATCCAACTGGAAGAGATCCATATTTATGCCCATTCCAAAAAAAAAGTGATCCAACAGAATGTGGAAATTATGAAATATCATTAATATCACACACAAGTATAATTTTGCTGAAGATAATTAAAAAACGGTTGCAACAGTGCATTGACAGGGAGTTTCCAGAAATTCAAGCTGGATTCAGAAGGGGATGTGGAATGAGGGATATCATTGCTGATGTCAGATGAATCTTGGCTGAAAGCAAAGAATACCAGGAAGATGTTCACTTGTGTTTTGTTGACTATGAAAAGTCATTCAACTGTGTGGATCATAACAAATTATGGATAACATTGCAAAAAACGAAAATTCCAGACACTTCCTTGTGCTTATGAGGAAACTTTACATAGACCAAGAGACTGTCCTTCAAACAGAACAAGAGGATACTGCATGGTTTAAAATCAGGAAAGGTGGATGTCAGGGTTGTATCATTTCACCACACTTATTTTAATCTGTATGCTGAGCAGATAATCAGAGAAGCCAGATTATATGAAGAAGATCGACTCATTAACAACCTGTGATATGCAGATGACACAACATTGCTTGCTGAGAGTGAAGATGATTTGAAGCACTTACTGATGAAAATTAATGACTGCAGTCATCAGTATGGATTACACCTCAACATAAAGAAAACAAAAATCCTTATGACTGGATCATTGTTCTGGTTACCTAGTGCTGTTCTGACAAGAATATACCACAAATGGGATGGCCTTAACAAACAGTTTATTCTTACAATTTGGAGGCTTTAAGTCCAAGTACCAAGCTCTAGGGGCTGGGTGAAAGCCCCTCAACCTTGGGGTCCAGCTCTGCCTCCAGCTGCCAGCCCACTGAAGCTAGAGGCTTTTATTTTCACTCAGACAGCTGCTGGCTGCTGAGGCTGAGAAGCCCCAAGGTTGACAAGTAAAAAGGCACAGTCCTGATGTTACCAAACCACACTGCAGGCCATTATCTTAAGTCCATTGTAAGTCCCAAGGTCGGCAGAGCATAGCAGGCTGCTGAGCAATGACACGGCTACATGCAGGGTCCAAGTGGAGACCATTCCCAAGGCTTCTCCTTACATACAAGAAGCAGACCACATACCCAAAGGCAGCTACTCAGCTGCTTGTGGTAGATCCCACCATGGAGCTGATTGCCAGTCTCATCATGGGGAATAACTACCACCAGCTGCCCAGCCACTCAACCAGGCCCAGCCAAGTTGACACACAAACATAACTACCACAACCATCAAACAACATCTTGATAAATGGAGAAAATATTGAAGTTGTCAAAGATTTCATTTTACTTGGATCCACAATCAATGTCCATGGAAGCAACAGTTAAGAAATCAAATGATGTATTGCATTGGACAATTCGGTCACAAAAGACTTCTTGGATGTGTTTCAGAGAAAAGATGTCACTTTGAAGACTAAGGTGCACCTGACTCAAGCCATGGTATTTTCAGTAGCTTCATATGGACGTGAAAGCTAGACAATGACTAAGGAAGACCACAGAAGAAGTGATGCTTTTAAATTGTGGTGGTGATGAAAAATAATGAAGGTACTGTGGACTGCTAACAGAATGAACAAATCTGTCATGGAGGAAGTATAGCCAGAATATTCTTTAGAAGTGAGAATGGACAGATTTTGTCTCTCATACTTTGTCATGTTGTCAGAAAGAACCAGTCACTGGAGAAGGATATCATGTTTGGTAGAGAATCAGCAAAAAAGAGGAAGACCCTCAGGGAGATAGACTGACACAGTGGCTGCAAAAATGGGCTCAAATAGAGCAAGGACTGGGCAGTGTTTCATTCTGTTGTACACAGGGTCGCTATGAGTCGAAACCAACAGCCCCTAACAACATCAAAATCCAGTTTATTTCAGAACCAAGTTATAGAATCAGAGCATGCTTCTTTTTTTTTCAGTAAATGTTCATTCCACACCCCTATTGTGTACCATGGAGGAATCTTAGGCACTGAAGCAAAAGGTGAGAAAACACAATCTCACTCTTCAGAGTTTGTTATGGATGGATTAAGTAAAAACGGCTGCCATTCTGTGACAGTTCGGTTTGTGTGTCAACTTGGCTGGGCCTGGTTGAGTGGCTGGGCAGCTGGTGGTAGTTAATCCCCATGAGGAGACTGGCAATCAACTGCATGGTGGGATCTACCACAAGCAGCTGGGTAGCTGCCTTTGGCTATGTGATCTGCTTCCTGCATATAAGTAGAAACCTTTGGGAATGGTCTCTAGCCTATGGCACGCTTGGACCCTGCATGTAACCGTGTTGTTGCTCAGCAGCCTGCTATATGCTCTGCCGACCTTGGGGCTTACAATGGACTTAAGATAATGGCCTGCAGTGTGGTTTGGTAACATCAGGACTGTGCCTTTTTACTTGTTAACTTTGGGGCTTCTCAGCCTCAGCAGCCAGCAGCTAAGTGAAGAAATGCCTCTAGCTCCAGTGGGCTGGGAGCAGGAGGCAGAGCTGGACCCCAAGGTTGAGGGGCTTTCACCCAACCCCTAGAGCCTGGCACTTTGAACTTGGACTTAAAGCCTCCAAATCATAAGAATAAACTCCTGTTTGTTAAGGCCATCCCATTTGTGGGAAATATTCTTGTCAGAGCGGCACTAGGTAACTAGAACAGAATTTGGTATGCCCTGGCATATGGCATGACAGACAGCAGGACAGACGGCAAGAGACCGGCATGAGAGACGGCAGGAGCAGAGCCGAGAGAAGCGGCATGAGCAGAGAAGAAAGCTTGATGCCTTTGGTTAGGAGGCTTACTGGCAGACTGGGTCGCCTTCAGATATTAATTGGTAAAAAGACTGGCATACTAGCAGATTGGCTGGCCCATAGAGCAAGAAAGCTGAATGCTTTTTGGGCAGGAAGATTTCCAGTGGAGTGGGTTGCCTTCAGCATTCATCAGCAGAAGCGGAGAGACCAAGGAAACGGAAGCAGAGCTGCCTCGGCCTGAAAGGGTAGGACCATGGCCTTTGAGGGTGGAACGATCACAGCCCCCTAGGTTTCAAAGAGCCAGGCCTTCATCAACTTGGTTCTGGAGTGTGGGACTTCTCATTCACGTGAGCCAGTGGGATGGAGCCATAGCCGCTGTCCAAGAGTGAGGGGGTAGGGCTGTCATGCCCAAGAGGGAGAGGAATAGGGCCCATTTTTAGGCCGAGGGGGTGAGGTCACTATTCAGGAACTAGGGGACTGGAGCCACCCAGCCACCCAGTGGAAGAGACCTGTACAGATACCACCCACTGAAGATCTGTACAGGTGCCAAGTTGATTAGGGGTGGAACTGTGGTAGTTCAGTTTGTGTGCCAACTTGGCTGGGCTTGGTTGAGTGGCTGGGCAGCTGGTGGTAGTTAACTCCCATGAGGAGACTGGCAAACAACTCCATGGTGGGATCTACCACAAGCAGCTGGGTAGCTGCCTTTGGGTATGTGGTCTGCTGCCTGTATATAATTAGAAACCTTTGGGAATGGTCTCTAGCCTATGGCACGCTTGGACCCTGCATGTAACTGTGTTGTTGCTCAACAGCCTGCTATGCTCTGCCAACCTTGGGACTTACAATGGACTTAAGTTAATGGCCTGCCATGTGGTTTGGTAACATTAAGACTGTGCCTTTTTACTTGTCAACCTTGGGGCTTCTCAGCCTCAGCAGCCAGCTTCTGTCTGAGTGAAGAAATGCCTCTAGCTCCAGTGGGCTGGGAGCAGGGGACAGAGCTAGACACCAAGGTTGAGGGCCTTTCACCCAGCCCCTAGAGCTTGGCACTTTGAACTTGGACTTAAAACCTCCAAATTGTAAGAATAAACTCCTGTTTATTAAGGCCATCCCATTTGTGGTATATTTCTTGTCAGAGCGGCACTAGGTAACCAAAACACATTAATTGTTCTGTTACCAATGTTGAGCCCTGTACTAAGAACTGTAACTAAATTCATTCAAATAATAACCATATAAAGCAGATATTGTTATTATCATCATCTCTATCAGAACATGATTGAAGATGTGGGCACTTGTCCAGGGTCGCACAGTGACAACTAACATATATATATAACACTTTATAGCATTTGCTACACACCTGTACTGGGAGAGTGCTTTATGTATATGAACTCATTTAATCTTTGCAACAATCAGGTGGAATAGTTAACTCCATTTCACAGAAGGGAAAATCCAAGGCACAGAAGTTAAGTAACATATTCAAGGTCAGACAGCTGTCATTGTAGTAAAGAGAGGAGCCAGGATTCAAACCCAGGCTCTCTGGTGCCACCGCCCCACCCCAGTCCACCACACACACTGCTCTTTAGCGAGCAGGCCTGGCAGACCTGTCCAGTCTCCTCATTCTTCAGAGCAGGAAACAGGCCCACTGAGGACCTTGGACAAGGTCATACAGCCTAATGATGGAGTGTGGATTGGAGGAAACCTGGCTCTTTTGACTCTGTGCTCTTTCCAAATACCACATGCCCCTTCATGAGGCTTTCCCGAGCCCCCGGTCCACCTGCCTACTTTCCTTCCTATGAACTGCACTGAGCTTCTGATCGGCAGCCCTCTCAGGAGCACCTGTGGCTGTGCCTTGGGCCCCTTATTTTTGGTGAGCCCTGCTTGCTGTCTTCTAACCAGACTGGGTCAAGGCTGATTCTCCTTGTTTGCCTGCTGCCCAATGGTCCAGTGAGTATACCTGGCTGGGCTGGATCCTGGGAACTGAGCCCTGGCCTCCTGGAGCTAGGTGATCAGCGCCCTTAGTACATATCACATCAGAACTCCCTGACCTTGAGTAGGCCTGGGGCTTTTGATGGGTGCTGGGTGGACTGAAGGGAGATACTCCCTCTCCCACAGATTGGAGCTGGCAAGAGCACAGATCTAGACTTACTGGAGCCCTCTGCTGTTGGGCCTGCCTCAAGATGGCAGCCCTTCTCAGTTTGGTGAAGGCGGCCCTCTTCCTCAGTAGCTCATTGTAGAAGAACAAGATCCGCTTCTTCTCTCGCTGAGGACAGGGAGAGGGAGGTCAATGATAGCGACAGTGCAGAGGAGAAAGGACACCTCCCCAAAGGACAGGGTTGGCAGGGAGCTAGGTACGGGTTGGTGTGTGTGTAGGATAAAGAGGTCTGGGGAGGGGCACACCTTGGGGAAGTAGAAGGCTGCAATGACCCTCCGGAGCCGGTAGCCAAAAGCCTGGAGCAGGCAGAGACACACTAGCAGGCCAATCGGTAGTGCAGCCCTGAAGTAGGCCTGGGCATCCAGGCTCACAGGCTGAGGCAGGCAGGCTGGGGGGTGGGGAGACAGGCCTGTCAGGGGTCTGACCAGTGCCAGCCTAGGGACAGAGCAGCCAAGGGTTGGACTCCCCACCCAGATGGGATGTATTAGTTTGGCCTCTGATTCCCTTGCTCTTTGACTGCCTGCTCCCTGTCAGATTATCCAATAAGTAAGGTAAGCACAGCCTTACTTTTGTTTACTTACTAATTTGTCATGAACAGTTTCACATTTCTCACATCAAAGATTTTTCTTGTAGGTATGGCTGACATCTGTCTGTTCCCTAACCCCACAGCACCTTCCTACAGAATCAAAGCCTCTTTTGAAATTTACAATCCAGGGTACCCAGTAAGCAAGGTAAGCCTGAGCTTACTTATGCTTACTAATCTGTAGTGAACAATTTCACATGGCTTTGATTTCATAGTTTTGTTCAAAGATGTGGTGAAACCCATGTGAAATGGTTGACTACAGCTTGGTAAGTAAGCACAAGTAAGCCCATGCTTACTTTGCTTATTGCGTAATCCGCTCTTGTACCTGACCCTCACCCTCCAGAGCTTCTCTGTCACATGGTAGCCACTAGGCACAAGAGGCTATTCAATCATTGTGGTGCAGATCTAGAATATAAGTGTCACGGCTATAACTTCTACTGGATGGCACTGTACCAGAAGGCTGGAACCCCTACCCTCTGGTCCTGTGGCTCCAGCCCCCAGGCTACTCTGACCCAAGCTTGGCCTCCTCCACTCTTCAAGCCTGCCAGCCCTCTAATTTACCAAACCCAAGCCCAGTGGCGCCTTCTCTCCACACTCAAACCCAATCCCCCAGCTCTTTACTTTGGAATTGTTTTCTTTTCTTTTCTTTTTTTTTTTTTTAACAAGTTCCCCAGGTGATTCTTCTTTTTCTTCTGTTTAAATTTTTATTGTGATTTGGGTGAAAGTCTACAGAGCAAATTTATTTTCCATACATCAGTTCATACACATTCTGTTTCATGACATTGACTGCAATTCCCCACAATGTAACAGGTCTCTTCCCACTTCCTCCCTATAATAACCTCTTCCCTGTGTCCTTCCCTCCCATGCACTGCACACCACCCCCCCAGCTATCTCCCTGTGCAAACGCTGCCCTTCTGTTCTCCCACAAGACTGATCACTTGCTTTGGAATCTTTTTGACATCTGCCCACCCCCCCACCCCAGCCCTCAATTCTTCTGACCCAGACTTTTAGCATCACTCACGCATGTTGTTTGATTCCACTACTGTCTCTGAGGAGGTGTTTAGGGCCCCGATGGTTTTCCGAAGAAGCCGGGCAAGCATGGAGTCTCCTTCCACCTTCACCTCTAGTTTATGACTGCCTGAGGTCAGGAGTGGAGCCATAGGTGAGGGGGATCAGGAAAAAGTTGGGGATAAGGGAGTGTGATGGAATGAGAGCTGGATGTAGGGGAGGGGTCCAGGCAGGGAAATACTTCTCAGATGCACAGGACTTCCCATCACTTCACTGAATCTAACCCCTCCCTGTTGTAGATACAAAGGGTAGGAACTGAGGCCCCCAGCGACAGCTGCCAGGTTGAGATTTGACCCTGAGGAGGCCAATGAGGGGCTAAGTCAGAGAAGGGGAAAAGGGAACAGAAGCAGCAGAAAGAGAGGACAAAATGGGGAGAACTGGTGTGAGGTGGCTACATAGCGTTTGGAGTTCATGTGGGGGCTGCCTCTTGGGCCTGAGTTGGGCAAGAGGGTCTGGAGTCAACAGTGAGGTATGCGCTCACTACGGAAGGAGTACTGCAGGAAGGAGTGCTGGCGGATGGTGTCGAAGATGGAGTAGAGAGCCCAGTCCAGCCCACACAGCAGCAGCAGCAGCAGCAGAACAGGCACCGATTCAATGAGCTCCCTCACCTGATCAAAGAAGAGGAGTGGGTGGGTAGGCCTGTGCAGCGCTGCCTGGTGGGCATGGGGTGCTGTGATGACTTTTGTCCTCAGCCCCACAGACGCATGCTCCCCGTACCCTTCTCACCACATTTTTCATTTCTGAGGCTTGGATCACGGGCTTGCAAGGAAAGATGACGGTTTTCTCCTCAGCTTTGCGGAGTGGCAGCAGAGTCCGTTTGCCCTGGGAAAAAAGTGTCTACACAGTGAGCAACCCCAGGGGCCTCTGCCCTCCTGGAGCACGAGGCCCACACAGGCCACGCAGCAGGACACCCTGGGGCAGGGCTAGGCCCACTCACCAGCTTCTTCCTGCGTTCATCGATCTGACAGAAGTAGGTGCTGATGTAGATGTTGTCAAAGCGAATGTCCTGGTTATAGTTGTCCATGTAGGAGAAGGACCTGCAGATGGACAGACAGGGATCTTTCCATTTCTTCCTTTTGGTTCTCTTCCATCCACCCCCAACAGTGGGGCTTGACAGCCAGTCTTTTATTCAACCACCAACCATCACTCTTGAGCACTGTCCTTGTCCTACGCACTGTGCTAGTGGGTACAACCAGGCGGAAGACTGGCTTCCAGCAGCACACAGTTCAGGGGAAGTCATATACCTACACAACTGAGGAGACGCAATAGGGGCTCAGAGGAGGGCATGGCTAGCCTGTCTGGAGCTGAGAGTCATGTAAGTGCAGGGATGTGTATGTGAGGTGTAGGGGAAGGTTTCACAGGCCTGGACCTTACAGGTTGAATATCAAGCAAAGGAAACAGAAGGAACGAATGCACAGTGATGGATGACCTCTCAAGGTTGTAGGAATCACCTAATCCACTGGGATTCCCAGTTACCTCTTGAGTCCCTGCCTCTCAGCTGAGCCAGCAAAACATCTCCTGGAGGTCACCTTAAGCAAAACTCATCCCCAAATACCATCTCCCTTCTTCCCTGCTCTCCACTGGCTGCCCTTGAGCACTAGTGAATGTGTGTGTGTGTGTGGCTGTCCTTCAATTATCTCCCAAAGTCCTGACATAATGTTTCAGTTTCCTGAGGAAGAAATATTAATTGTTGGAAATCTGTTTAGAACTGTAAAAGTACATGAAATAAACCATGTAAGCTGTGACACTTAACTTCCAATGCTATTGGTTCTGGGATCCAGTGAAAATCTACATCTTTGCCTTTAAGATAGAAATAACTTATAAATGCAAAGATAGACTGTGAGCGCCCCCTTGTGGAGAGGCCTTCCACTGTTGCACCTGAGCCTCCTGAACCCTGGCAGCAAAATGCTGGCTAGTTCTGTTTCTTTATTGAGTGGCCTGGAGCCTGAAAACCTGGAAGTGACTTTTGACTCTGTGCCTCCTTCCTTCCTTCCCCAAGCTGGCTCTGAGATCTGCCACACCTTTCCCCCTTCCTCCCTCCCTCCATCCTGGGCTATCTTCTTGCCACACCCCACCGCAGCCAGGCTCCCTAACCTCTGACCCAGCTTGTCCAAGTTCATCCAGCAACTATCCCCATTCAGGCTCTCCTTCAGGACTTTCCAGATTATCCTGGCCATGCCCACCACCTTCAGCCCAGTCCTCCACTCCAGGCTCTGGCCTCTACACTGCGCAGATGCCAGGGTCCTTGCCCAAGAGAATTCCCTTCCTTGTCTTGACCATGGCTCTCATCTGCAGCCTTTGGGAGCCCAGTTATACCCTTTCCAGGGGCACTTGGAAAGAACCCTAGTGGCACAGTGGTTAAAGCACTCGACTGCCTACCAAAAGGTCAGCAGTTCAAACCCACTAGCCACTACTTGGGAGAAAGATGTGGCAGTCTGCTTCCATAGAGACCATAAAGATTTATAGCCTTGGAGATCCTATGGGGCAGTTTTACTGTGTCCTATAGGGCTGCTATGAGTCAGAATCGACTCCATGGCAGTGGGTTTGGTTTTGATTCTTTCAGGGGCCTTGGCCCTGGAAGCCCCTCCTCCACTCTTACACCTGTCTTGAAAGCCAATCCATAGTATGGCCCTTGAACTATTCTCTGGTTTGTGGGGTCTCTCTTGCCTCCAGTACTCTGGGTATCAAAAACAGTTAAGCACTTGATTGCTAACCAGAAAGTTGGGGGTTCAAACCCACCCCAAGGTGCCATGTAGGAAAGGCCCGGTGAAGTGCTTCTGAAAGGTGACAAACTGAAAACCCCGTGGATGGCAGCTTCCCTCTGCACTCCATGAGTCAGGATTGACTCAGTGGCAACTGTTTTTTTTGTTTGTTTGCTCTTGCCTCCCCAGCTAGACATTAGCTGCTTGAGGGCAGGACTATGGCTCATTCATCTTTGTCCTCCCATAGGGCCTAGGTACACGCATGCCCTGCCGTCACTCTAGGCCCCACAAACAAAAACAGACAGATTAAGAGCCCCTGTGACTGCCCTTGCCCAGCTCCTGCCAAGCTCGGACATTTGGGGTGGAGATGGAAAGTAGAGGTCCAGAGGTTAGCAGGAGCGAGGCCTAGGGCAGCCCCGCTGGATGCTAGGCTGGGTGGGGTTGAGGACTTTGGTCCAAACCAAGAGAAAGTCGCTGCCAACGCAGCAGGCAGGAGAAAATGAAAGCAAAATTGGACGATAAAAATGGCACAAAGTCAGAGCCAAGGGGAATATGAAGGGCAAGAAAAAAAATCAAAAGTCAAAGCTAAATGTAAAAGTCAGCGTCGGGATAAAAGCGGAAGCGAAGTAGGTACATGAAGGTACACTCTTTCAAGGTGGCGGAAACATGGGTAACATTTCTTCCTACAAAATGTCCACATTTCCTTTGTAAGTTTTGTGTAAACAATGAACCCCACTTCATAAAGAGACAAAGTTAAAAGCAAACACTTGGATTCAGAGTGGAGGATGGATTCTGCACTCCCACTCTGAAGCTCAGGGCAGGTCTCCTGTCCAGCCCAGCAGGGAGGGGGCTGGCATTGGGGCAGGGGCCGCTGGGATGGGGGCTTGTGACTCACGCATGTAGGACCAGCAGGAAGGTGCAGGAGAGCAGCACCTGCAGCAGCCCCAGGGTCCATTCCAGGCGGGCCTCCTGGGTGCGCACGTAGTTCCGGGCCTCAGTGCTCATGTGCTCCCAGCTCCTGTTGAGGCCCAGCACTCCAGCCTGCTTCCCCTCCTGGTGGGGGGCACCGGGGCAGACTCACCCTGTGCCCCCCACCAGGCCCAGACGTGGCCTCTTCATGGCATCTAGGTCACGTCCCCTTGATCCTCCAGACCTTTAGGATTTGTCCTGTCCTTCTGCTTGCCACCCTCCTTGACACAGTCTTGGTCCCCTACACCTGTATCAGCTGACCCATCTCACACCTGGCTGACCATTTGGTGCCAGAGCCAGGTCCACCCATTCCCCAGATTCAACACCAGCCCTCTCCCTATGACACATCACCAACACCTGGCTCAGAACCATTCCCTCCATGTGCCTCTCCCTCACAACCAGTCACCTGTTTACTGTCACCTGTTTTGCTTGCTCATCCTCATGGCCTGCTCCCCAGTGTCCTCCTCCTACTCCCTATCCCCATTATATGCTCCCACCCCTTACCTTTAGATTAATATTGGCTGAAAATTCCCCAGTCAGGCTATGAATAGACTGGTTGAGCGAGTCGTAGGTCTGCCCAAAGTTGCCTTCCACTGGGATTCGATTCCGACACCAGATCTCCATCACTGGTGGACAGTGGGGCCAGATCAGGGGCCTCTCCCATCTGGCTACCAGGCCTGGGCCCACCTAGGCTGCCTCCCCTCCTGTGAGCCTCCATATCCTCTGCTTTTGTTTCTCTGCTCATGACCTTCTACTGCACCAAGTCTGTCTCTGCTGTCCTTGGATTCTTCCTTCCCCCATTTTTTCACCTGGCAATAACCATGATAAATACTAATGATGATAGCCAGAAATTGTTGGGCAATTCCTCTGTGTTCCAGCTCTATTACCTGCTTCCCATGCATTATCCTCTTAAATCCTCAGAAATCCCTAATGGGAAAAGTGCTACTACTATGCCCATTTTTCAGAAGGAAAGACGAAACTCAGAGCTTGCTGTAACTTACTTCGGGTCATGCCAGTCAATGGAGGAACTGGGCTCTGAGGGTGAGGGTATGTTCAGAGGATCTAAATGCTTTTCTGCCACACATATGTCCACTGTCCCCAGGGACCCAACTCCCCCAGCCCTAATGCTCCCTACCCTTGGTGATGCCACAGAGGAACTTGAACTTCATGGGCAAGCAGAGCAGGTGGTTGAGGAGTGGGACCCAGATGCGTTGCATGCACTGTTCATGCTTTCGGTCAAACCACTGTTGGCAGCTGAACATGGCCTTGTTCACCACATCTGCAGTAAGGGCCAAGGGGTGTCTGAGCTCCCCACACTTAACCTGGAGTCCTAGCCCCATAGTCTGCCCTGCCCCACCCAGGAACACCCCTCACAGGAGCAACGTAGCTTGGTCTTCAGCTCAAACATCTTCTGTGTGGAGAGAGGCTGTCTGGAGGCTGGGAACTGGCGGCTCTCTACATCTTGTGCTGTCTTGTTTGAGTCCATGGCATCCTCCGGATTGAAGCCAGCCTCACTCTTCACCTGGGCATCCAGGTCCTCAAAAGAGTTGGAGATGTTGAGAGTCTTGGCTTTCAATGAATCTTTGCTGCCCTGGGATTGATGAGGAAGGGTTGGGTAAGCTCTGCAGTTTCATTCTCGAAGTTCCATTCCCACAACCTGTCCTCCCTACATTAGCCAAGCTTTGGGCTCCTACCCTAGGCCTATAGGGAGCCTAGGCCTTGAGACACAGCCACTCACCTCAAATTCCCCCCACCCCGTTCATAGTCCTTGGGAACTCTGTCCTCTCCCCATGCCTTTTCTGATGCTCCATGGTCTGCTCTGCCCACCTCAGAGACTCCCAGTTCCTCCTCAGACCTCCTGTCCCACATCCTTGCTGGCCATTGGTTCCCTAGATCCTTAGACTTCACCCCTCAACATTACTAATCTCTCGGAGCGCTGTGCCATCTCAATGCCTCTGATGCCCAAGCCCTTTGGCCCCATCTCCCCAGCTCTCAATTCTCCCAAACTCCCAATCTCCAGTTCTCCAATACTCAGTTTTTTTTTTTTTTTTTTTTTTTTTTAATCTCCTCATCTTCAAGTTCCCCTGGAACTCCTCAAGGCTAAGGACCTCACTTTCCTGACATTCTAGTTCAGCTGCCCAGAATCATGCTGCCCACGTGTTTGGAAATGTATATGGGGAATTTCACGTTGTCCCAATGACTGGGTGCTCTCCTGGAATTTAGTGTCTAGGGACACTTCTTAATATTTTAGGATGGTCCTGAAAAAAGGCCCCATTGGGAAGCTGTAAATTCAGGGTCATAGCTTCCCAGCTCAAGTCATCTCTGCCCTTGAGTAGAGGTATCCCGAGTCCTGCCCGTGTGGGGTCCTGACCAGCAGGTCCTTGAATACTGCCCGCAGGGGGGCTGTGGAGGTGTGCCAGGCCGCTCGTGTGTTGTTGATCTGCAGCTCCACAGTGCAGCCCAGTGACGCTATCACTTCGTTGAGGTTGTAACGCATGTTGGCCACTGGCCCTGGGGGAAGAGGCCCTAGTGGGTTGCCAGTACTTTCTCAAGCCCACGCCTAGATCCTGCTCTGTAGTGACCATGTTCTAGAACTGCACAATGATGGGGCTGAGAAAGCTGTAAAAGGTTATCTCATTCAACCCCTGGTTTTTTCACCTGTGCAAACAAAAGAGGCCCATAGACAGAGAGGAATTCTCTCAGGGGCATATAGCAAGTTGGAACAGCTGAGATTAAAACCTGGGCTCTGACCTCCCACCCTTTCTCCTTCAGAGGCCTGATTCCATTGGATAGTCCACCCAGGTTCACTTCTTCATTGTCACTAACCAGCAGCCAGGGACAAACACTCACCTTCATAGATGGCAGCCATGGCGTATCCCAGTACAAAGAGCCTGCCCTCTTTGCCCAACATCTTAGGTAGTATCAGGAGACTGGCACAGCGGATATGAGGGGAGGTCCCCCAGCCCATGGCCCCTAAGCCTGTCAGGAGAGCCCAGTAGGGCAGGGTGAGGATGCTGCTTCATCCAGCATGTCTATGAGAGCACCCACCTGACACAATTCCTTCTGGAACCTGCCCTTGTCCCCATTTACAACTGGCTCTGATAGACCTTCTAGGCCCATTATTCATTCATTTATCATTGATTCATTCACCAGGCATTTACAGAATTCAACTCTGTGCCAGCCTCTGGCTGGGGAGGGAGAAATGGCTAGAGATTGAAAACTCACTGTTGGTGGTTGACTTTGTATGTGTGCATGAGTATGTGTGTTTGTGTGTTTGTGTTTGTGTTAGGGAAGAGGGCCAGCCAACACTTCACAATCCCTGCTGGGTTCTGACTTACTCTAGGTTCTGAGTGTGCAGAGAGAGCAGGGGGAAAATTCTAGAAACAGGTACTAGTGCTCAGAGCAGTCAGAAGAGAAGCCAGGGCTGACCTCCTTATCCCCCATGCTCTGACACCTACAGCACTAACAATCTCTGCCCCTAATGTTAGTCCTTAATCATGTACTACCTAGTATATTCGAGCACTTTCACATGTGTCTCCCTGCGGTCGCTGCGAGAAGACAGTGAGCTCCTGGAAGCTCATAATCCAGGAAAAGAGACAGATGAGTAAACAAATGACTACAGCACGATGTGCTAAGTGCACAAGGGAGGTGCTTATAAAGAGCCAAGGAGGGAGTGGGCATTTCTGCAGGGAGAGGTGGGGCTGGGAAGACTGGACAAAGGAGATGATGTGTCAGCTAGGCCTAGAAGATGAGTAAGTGTTGTTAGGAGGAGCAGACAGCATTCCAGGCTGAAGGAACAGCATAAGTTGTCAGGGAATCTAGAAGATTCCTGTTTTGTTGATGTGTTTGCTCAATGATGGCCAAAGCACATCCCAAACCTTAACACTTCCCTCCATCTCCACTGCCCTCATAAAGCACCCATCATCTCTCACTTGGACAACAGCCTCCAAACTAATCTCCCTGCTTTCTCTCTTGCTACCTTATCCTTCAATTTCCACAGAGCAGCCAGAGTGAGCTTGTCAAAAAACAAATGAGATCATGTCCCTTCCTTGCTTAAAACCGTCCAGTGACTTCCTACCACACTTGGGATAAAATCCTGTCTCCCTTATGATCATGGTCTATAGACCCTGGGGATCTGGCCCCTGCCTACCTGCTGAAGTGATCTCATGCTACTCGGCCCTTCGCCTACCATGTCCACCCACATGGGACTTCTTGCTGTTCCTTGAAGATGCCAAGCTTGTTCCTCCTCTCAGGTCTTCGCCCTAGCTGTTCCCCTTGCCAGGAGCACCCCCCCCCCATTCTTCACATGGCTGGCACCACCTAGTCATACAGGTTTGTTGCAAACCCTGTCTGGTGCCACCCAACAGTTTTCTCAGCCTTCCCTCTTGCTAACACAACTTGGGTTTTGTTCAAGGGTAATGGTCTGGTCCTGCCCTGGCCCCAGGGGGTAAATCTGGATCTGCCCAACCCAGTCATGGTATAACAGGACTTTAAAAGGGACATGTCCCGTGGTCTTGGTCTTTTACTCAAAGACTCAAGCTGAGGAATATAGTTGATATCCAGATGTCCCACATTCCAAAGAGAGCCCTAAGGAGCTATAGGTATCCTCTCTGGGCTTACAAAAAGAGCAAAACTAGTCTCTTAACCCTTGACCCCAACCAGCCTACATAAAGAGAAGACCAGAAATGGGAAATTTTTGGAAGTAGAGAGAGCCTGTTGGAGTAGGCAGGCCTAGGAGGAGAGTCCATGGGAAGGATGGGTGGTCCATTCCTCACATCAAGAGAGGGGCTCCAAGAGGATCCTTCAGAGACTGGTGCTATAGGAAGGGAAACATTGTTCATCATTCCTAAGGTGGATTCCTGACCAGCCAGAGAACTCTCAGGGCCACTTCAGGGCTGTAGGGGAAGAGTTCATGGGAGAGCTCTGCAGGAGCTAAGGGAACAATGCGAGTGTGGAGGCGATCCCTGCTTCTCATCTGGGGAACTCTAAAACCAGCCTGTGATGGCAGGAGAGAGGGTGGGTGCAAGTTACCCTGCTTTCCTGGATTGGAGGGGTGAGGCTGTGTGCATTTCCTTTGGGGCAAGTGGACATTATGGAGGGCAGCAGGCCTGGAGCCATGTGGAATGTTCTCCATGCAAGAGGGCAGCCTGCTTGGGGAGGGGATCCGAAAGTAGAGGATGTGGGTGGCCTGTGGCCTGCAGGAGCTAAGGGGGCTTCTTCTGAGGTCAGAGAACTGCCCTTAGCAGGAAACAGGCACTGCTGAGGTGCACACAGAGCCTCCAAAGAGCCCATACATGGGTCCCTGAGACAGCCGGTGTGTAAGTGCCTACCATACAGAGGGCACCGGCAGTGGAGTTATAACAGCATTGATGACTTAAGACTTTTGTCCCTTTTCCTCTAATTCTTCTAATTCCCTGTTCTGACATCAGAAAAGCCAGAAGGGGAAGGAAGTGGAGAAAAGCATGAAAGAGCAGGCCATGCCCGCCTCTCTACTGCAGGACCCCATGCCAGGATCAAGCCTGAGCTGAAGGCTGCAGGGGGAAAGGAGGGAAGAAGATGCTGGGGAATGGATGTGAGATTGAAATTTTAAGGTAGACTGGATTGAATCTTCAAATCCGTAAGAATAAGTAATCATTCTTGAAGCAAAACTCAAACCCTCAAAAAAAAAAAAAAAAAAAAAAAACTGTAATAACAAATCTGACAAGGGACTTATCTCTAGAATGTATAGAGAACTCTAACACCTCAAAAACAAAAAGAAAAATAATCCAATTAAAAAATGGACAGAAGACATGAATAGACACTTCACCTAGGATGATACTGAAGCAGCCAATAAACATATGAAGAAATGCTCACGATCATTAGCTATTAGAGAGATGCAAATCCAAACAACAATGAGGTACCATCTTGCTCCAGCACTAGTAGTAGCAAAGTTCAACAAGACAGAAAATAACAAACGCTGGTGAGGCTGTGGAGAGATGGGGACTCTCATACACTGCTGGTGGGACTGTAAAATGGTACAACCATTGTGGAAAGCAGTATGGTGATTCCTTCAAAAATTGCAATTAGAAATAACATTTGACCCAGCCATTCCATTACTAGGTATATACCCTAAAAAAGTGAGAGCCATGACAAGAACAGATATATGTACACCGATGTTCATCACAGCACTATTTACAATAGCCAAAAGATGGAAACAACCTAGGTATCTATCAACTGAGGGATGGATAACCAAATTATGGTACATACACCCAATGGAATACTATGTAATGCTAAAGAATAGTTATTTTTTTCCCTAGAAAAATAGATCTAACGTTAATAGATATAGACAATTCCAAACATAGTAATTGAGAGAGAACAAAATAACATCAAATTTTGTTAAAGATTCCTACTCTCTACATCCACATCCTCAAACTACAGAAAAAATAACAACAGATGACATCAAGGACATCCTACATGAAGAAAGGAAAAGGTCATTAAAAAGACAGGAGAGAGGGAAAAAAAAAAGACCAAAATGGATTTCAGAAAATACTCTGAATTTCCTTTTGAATGGATATTGGCCAAAACTAATGGAAGAAATGATGAGGTAAAAAAGCTGAACAGTAAAGAATAATGTAGAATCTGCAAAACACCACGTAACGTGGATGAACTTGGAGGACATTATGCTGAGTGAAATAAGTCAAACACAAATGGACAAATATTGTATTAGTCTGTTATTGTAAAAGTTAAGGAAAGGTTTATCTAT